ATTAAAAAAACATTCCAAGCCATTTAAATATATAAAATATTTATACTACAATTTATACTATAAAATATTTTTATAGTATAAATTATAAATTATTTCAATTATTTAGGTCAATTCGGTTAACCGATCAAATACACCAATCATTTCGGTTTGGTTTTAGCTTGGTTTGGGGCAAACCATTAAAAATGTATCTGTTGCGTATAGTATTAAATAATTTCATATTAATGACTATCTGATTGCACAATATCAAATGAAACATACCGAACTAAAATATTCGATTTGAAATTTATGTTTCGCTTCGATTAACTTTTTTTTATTTTGAAAATCTTAGTTATTTCAGTTCGCCGTCGGCTTTATTTTTTGAAATAACCGGAATACCAAACCAACCATGCTATATAAAAAATACTATTATTATTATTATTATTATTATTATTATTATTATTATTATTATTATCATTATTATTATTATTATTATTATTATTATTATTATTATTATTATTATTATGCATATATATATATATATATATATATATATATATTAAGTAAATATATTATTTGCTTTTAGCAGAAAAATTAAAAATCCTCCCTATATATAATTACCGATGCGCTGAGCCTACGTGGCTGCTTCTGGTGCTTCAGAATCCTATTTGGCGAAGAATCATGCTTCGTAATTAGGTTTGGATAAATAATATTGATGTATTAATAATTAATAATCTAGGTTCGGGTATTCCATAAATATTATTTAGCTAACTTAGGTATTTTAATTTTACTAATATAACCCTTAATTTTTTGTAATTTTACATAGTGAGGCACTAAGTGACTAATATATCCCTGAATTTTTATTTGTTTCCTTCAATAAGCTACTGAATTATAAATGTATTTTAAAAATTGATAACTTTTGTATTTCTTATCGGTTTTACATATATAATATATCAAATTAATCATCTTTTGATGATCGTCGATATGACATCCATATTGTATACATGAAATAAATAAATTATATTTATCTTTATAATAAAAAAAATAATATTTATTAAAATTCATTAAAAAAATAAAATTATTTCTCAATTGATATATTTATATGTAATGTAGTTATATATTGTAAGTTAAAAAAATTAGTATAATATAACACAAGTAAGTTGGGTGGGTTATTTTTTTAAAAAAATATAAAATTCTGTGGCAAAAAATAAAAAAAAAAAATAATTGTGGAAAAAAATCAAACGGACGGATTCTGAAAAAAAATCCGTGTTTCTAATAAAACACGGATTTTCAGAATCCGTTTTTGTTTTACATTTTATTTTTTTTTTAAATGAAAGTCAAAACTGTCGGTGGATTTTAATATTAACACTGGAAAACGCGGATTACCAAAATCCGTGTTACTTTAAAAAAAAAAAAAACACGGATTATGAGAATCCGTGTTTTGGTCAATATAAAAAGCTGCATACTGCTCCCCCGACCACAAATCATTCATCCATCCCAAATTTTTTTTTTCTGTTCGATTTTTGAAGGCAATTTAAAAAAAAAAAACATTTCAACCAATCGTCGGGGAAGAGGTTAGTTGTTATTTTAATGT